GTTGCCTCTTGCTATTTTCAGGGTGAGAAGTGGGTACAAACTGGCCTATGTCATCTTGTCTAGATTGGAAGTCCAAGGGCTATTTTAAACCCAGGAAAGACATTTTAATGAAGGAAGATGTGGGGGAAAGTGAAAAGGACTCAACAGGCAGAAGCAGATGGAAGACGGGAGCCCTGTTTCTTTGGAAGCCATGGGAAGCTGAGCAACCACTCTCAACAGCGTGTATATCTGTGAATGAGTATATTTTCTATTTCTTCTAAATTTGAGCTTTGTGTATTTCTCCATTAATTTTCTATTCATGAATATATGTAATGATAACCACACTTACTTCATTTATTTTTGAAGGTCATTTCTTTGCTTTCAGTGGTTTGAGAATTAAACCCTTAAAGAAAAGGAATCGGTTGTGTAAAATTTGGATTATTATTTAACAGTGCATGAATGGATGATGGAATAATAAAAGGGCTAATGGTAATTACTTAATAGAGCTTACAAAATTTTATATATGCATATGAAGAGAGCTATTCACATATAATTTTATTTCTAGCCCCATGTGGCATTATGAGAGCTTTGATTTAAATTGTATGTAAAATAAATTATTTCATTATGATAACTAAACAAGTGTGGTACAAGTTATGTGTGTGGCTGCAGAATTTGCTAGTTCAGAGGTCTTGAAAGTAAATGTCTTTATTCTTTTGGGAAGAAAATATTAGAACTTCTAATTCTATTTATTTTTATTTCAGTAACCATTTATTTTTTGTGCATATTTTAAATGCCTGAATATAATAGCAACACATTTATAAAGTTTTAAAATTATATGATTTGGAGCACTGGTAGGGTGCTATAAAATAAAAATAGTTTAGAGATTAGTGCTTCAGGCAATAGAAGATTTTCAAATTTGCCATAAACTAGGTACTTAATTCAAGGGATTTTATCCTAAAATAATTTATAAAATCTTTTATTTCAACTAAGGAGGGATAGAGTGTTCAGAATATTTATATTGGGATGATTTTAAAGAACACACATCAATCTTAGAACCTCAGAGAAAGAACCATTTTTGAAGTGGAGCAGAGGGGAAGATACCTGGCTGGACAGGACGAAACCGGATCTGGTATGTAAGAGAGCACATGTTGGCATGGCTTCGTGGAGGAAAACTGGCAATTGCTGCCCTTACTGGGTCCTACCCTGCCTTTTAAAATCGTTTGCCTTGGCCAGGCACTTTGTCCCGTCTGTCTTTCTCACTCTCTCCATACAGTCAAGGCCTGTCAATGTTCCTGTATAACATCTCATAACCTTGGCTACCTTTCTCTTGGTAGGCCTGCTTTGATTTTCTGTTAGAGCATCATTATGATATGTCAACATATTTCTGGACCTATCTTTCTTCCTCTACTTGTCCTATATTCCTAGAACCCCTCAAACTAGATTAATATTTCTGTTGCAATTCTAGACATATTGCTCTTTCGCACCAAAACTTACCGGTTTCCTATTGCCTAGTAAGATAAGTACAAACTACAGATTGGCACTAATTTTCCATAATAAATAAACAATCCTTACCAGATTTTTCCCAGTAATTACCGTACAATAATGTGTGTAGTACATAATAATGGGAGTCATTAAATGTCTGTTAAAAATGAACATGTCTTATGTTTTGGCCAAACTTGATTATTTACTGATATCTCATAATGCTATATGTATTATCATCTCAGTTTCTTTTCCTGAGGATGGAATAAATTCCTACATTATAAAATGATTCTAAATTAATAGGCGGATATGCTGTCTTCCGATTTTTGCCTATCAGTTATGCCAGCAAGCCTTCAAAACTCCATCACAAAGTCATTGCAATTGCGCCAGTCCAGACAAACTTTCTGTTCTCGTGTCCAGATATCTGTGAGCTGATCTCTGAGTTACTGAGCACTTTGTTTAGCATCACCTGTTATGCTGACTTCTCCTGACTGTGTAGCAGAGTCATTGACATGTTGATGTAATCCTGATTTTTCTTCACACTTTGGAAGTGAACTCCTGGAAGAGAGAGTTTTCTTCTCTCTTCATCCTTATAGTACCCATTCCATGTAATGACTACTTTATGAGACCAATAAATTTCAACTGCTGTTGTTCTTGCTATAGTGGGGGCATTTCTTCACATGTAATCGTACATGGAAATCCGTAGAACAACACAAAAATAGACTAGCTCTGGTTGGAAGGGGGAGGGATTGTTATATTTTCCCAAATATTCTCTTTACCACAATGTTTGGTGACTGTACAGAACACCTATGACTCTACTCAACCTTGTCCAAAAACTATATTATTCAGTTCATATGTCACAGTCAAGCAGGGAGAGCCCGTTTACTGTCACTCCCTTGGTGATTTATCAGAAGTCTTCTATTTGTGCTTGGAAGAAAAGCTCCACAAGAGAGAAGAACTTGCATGTAGGCTAGTGGTTAGCTTACATTTCATATAATTGCATTGCTCATTTATCACCAAATTTCATCCCTAATAAATACCATGCTGTCTGTTGGAAATATCTAGAAATTGGGGAGAAAGAAATTAAGTGGGTTATGTAATAGGTTTAGGTATTTTAAGCAATAAATGACTCAGAAATAAAGTGTATGCAGGTTTCCCCCACCCTCTCTTCCCTTTTATAAGAAGAAGGCTGAAATATAAGCAAGCTGACATTTTGCATGCATTCCAGTGGAATGATAGATTGGTTTGGAGGTGGAATATTCTGTTGTGTTCTGAAAGCTTTGGGCCATCATAGCTAGAGTCAGGGGCAGGACTCAGCTAAAAATAACCCTGGCTAAGAGGAAAGACATTGGGAAAAGTTCTTTGAAAAGAGGTAGAAAGTTGCCTTGAATTCAGATCTGAAGAAGTGCCAAGTTCTGCTCATCTCTAGAGCTATAGCAACTCAATTGGAAAGGGCAAGAATGCCAGTAATGCAAATGAAAATTTCATAAAGGGAAGAGGGAAAAGAAAAAGGAAATAAAAGGGGAAAAATGAGATAATATTTGCTTTTAGGGTGATGGTCCCCAACCTTTTTGGTACCAGGGACCAGTTTCATGGAAGACAATTTTTCCATGGGGCAGAGAGATCTGACAGGAGGTGGAGCTCAGGTGGGGATGTGAGCAATGGGGAGCAGCTATAAACATGGATGAAGCTTCACTGGTTGTTAGTTCACCTCCTGCTGTGCAGCCTAGTTACTAACAGGCCATGGACAGATAGCCGGGAGGTTGGGGACTGTACATTCAGGGTATAAAAATTCAGGTAGACTTAGGTCTTCACTAAGTACAATATTCTAATAGCATCTTATCCTCCAAGACTCAGGTTTTTATTCATTTTCCTTCTTGTCTTTTCTTTCTTTTCTCTCTCCCTTCCTCTTTATTCAACCCCACACTCCACCTTTTTTATTTCTTGTCTATCAGTATGTTGAATGGGATACTGGTAGTTTGAATGGGATGGATCTTATGTCTCTTGTCTAGAAATCCCTGCTAATGTCTCAAAACTGCCCTAAAAAAACAACCTGGGACAAACATTGCTCCTAATGAGAGCTAATGAGGAGATCCCAGCTACTCTCATGCAGTGACCTCTCTGCAGACTCATTAAATGGTAGACTAGGTATTTGAGGAGGGGGTTACAGTTCAGTAGTTTCGCAGAGATGTTTATGAGGTTGACTCTCTAAGATAAGTATTGGCAGAGAGAACTGCTCACTGGATTTAAAATAAGGAAAGAATGACATCATGTTCCTCAGGTGAATGTCTGCTAACGAATCCAGCTTTCTAAGCTACTCTGTGTCCATGTGAACAGGAGAAGAGAATTGGGAGAGACCCCAGGAAGAGGTCAGTGTGATCTAGTATTATTGCCACTCCATCGCTTGGAGAGGTTATGATGGATGGGTTTCCTGTGGGTGTGTTGGCAGATGGCTAACCATGGGCCAGTTTTCTTCAACAGTGTGGCTGCAGGATGAGGCGGACAACAGTGGAGGCTGTGGAGAATCCTAGGTACCCTAGAGATGTCAGGTGAAAAGGAAAATCAAGCTGGAGCATTTCTCTTGGGAAAGGAACTGTACAATGAGATGTCCCCATAGGGGGGTCCTGGAAAATAACAAGAGCCCCACAGTAGCAATACCCCATACTGAGAAGAAATTCAAGTTTAGTCCTGCACCACATAAGTCAGCAATGTCAGAACTCTTCCATCTCTCTGAATCCTCTATCTCCTTCTAGCACACCCAGAGGAATAAAGATGCAGCAGGTGGAGGGAGAACCACAGAAGGAACTGACTATACCTGCTTTCTCCATTAGGTCCCCTGAGCCAACACAGGGAAGAGGGAAGCATTAAGTAATTTAAATATGAGATTGTGTTAAAAATTGACTGAACCCAACTGGTTACACCCAGGGTGACTAGAACACATGACATGTGTCCAGCGTGATGCTAAGGAGATGGGCATTCAGTAGTGTGATAGGAGACAGCAATTGGAGGAAGATAAAGTCATTTCCTCTTGAATCCTAACAAATCTTAGACTGTTCAGTAAAGACCATGCTATAGGAGCATTGTGTTGCATAGTCTTTTGGTTGTCTGTCTTAACACTGTGAAAGTTGGCTGCCTGTAGGTGGCTTTCATTAAGAAGAACCCTGAGAATTCAATCTTTTTTACATCATGATTAGCATGGTTACTATTCTAACTCTTTGATTCTAATAACTTGACCCACAATAATCTACTGTGATTTTAAAGTAAGCTGTTGTCTTAATTGCAAGCCAGTTTCTGTTATTTGTGACAGATTTTGATAGGAACTTCCCAATGGGAGTGATAGATTGTCTTTTGATTTTCTAGTAAATGAAGATTTTTAAAAAGTAGACAAATCAGCATTTTAGATTTTAACATCTCTAACAAGTTAAGTTTTTATTTTTAAGAGAAAACCCATTACACCCAAGCGTGCATTAAAAAGCAATAAAAGTAAAAGAAGCTTGCTATGGGCTGGATCGTTGAGAACCATCTCAGCCACAGAGGGAGTGGGCATGGGCTTAGCACTTGCTGTCATAGATGATCCGGCACTTCAGGAGCTTGAGATAGTTGTCAATCTTATGTGAATCCCTGCGTAGGCAGTGGAGAAGGTTATAAAAGGCAAAAAGGCGAGAATCTTCATCAGCCATCTGCAAGGCTGGTAGTCCTGACCAGACAGAGTAGACCTCGTTTTCTCTGATTCCAGGATGAACCTAATTAGCAAAAAAAAATAGGGACTTAGTATTTACATTGTTAATATTTGTATATCCTCATTATTCCTGATTGTTGAATCAAGATTTTGGAAAGATTAAGAATGTAAAATGTTAAGCTAAAAGCAAAACGATTTTTCTGAATTTGGGCCGGTGCCCCAGAAATTCATGAATCTAAAAAATAGAAGCAGAATGCATGTATAAGTTTTCTGTATGTATGCCATCACTGACAAAGTCTGTTTTTGTAGGAGTGGATAGATGGAGAGCCAGGAAGCTGCTATCTGAATATAGACAGATGTGGATTTGACCAAGGGACATCAGAGAAGCTAGCTTTGGTTCTCTCTGTTGAGGAACTATTTCACGTCCTGAGTCTTGTCCCTGTGTGTCATTTGTACATCATTTCTCCTGACAGTTCACCATTTATCATTTTCCTGCTTGGAGCTGAATTTTCTTCCCATATCTTGTTTGTACTGAAGATCTTAGAAATGAGAATTCTAAGAATCTTAGAGTTCTACAGGTGACCGTGACTGAGAGGAGTCAGGAAACGTTCATTCCACCCAGGACAGGAACCCTCCCAAATTTCTATGAGGAAATTTCTTTTGAGGTCACTAGGGTAGGAGGTGCTGGAAATAGCAGCTATAAGGAGGGGATTCTGGCAGCAGCCCCTAGGTGGGGAAGGCTTTGTGGCAGGGGTGGGGACACATCTGTGATAACTGGAAAAGGCCACATAGCATGAGAAGAAGAGTCCTGTGTATTTTCCCACTTAGCCCCGGAGGACTTGGAGACTGAGTTGCCATCTTTATTTTGCCATTCATACATTTATCATAGGTACATTTATGCCATTATAGGATTCAATGTGTTGATTATTTGTACAAATTGGAATGCTTACATCCTACTAAACAACATAGCCTTCACCTCATTTACCCAATTACAGGAGTAAGACATTTATGCTTTACACCTGATAGATCCAACTTGTACTTGCAATATGCTCCATAGGTGTGGTCCCCCTCCCAACCCTCCCTCTATCGACCCAAACCCCTCCCTTCCGCTTTCCCTTCCCTTCCCTCCTTCATCCTAGTCTATAGTTGTGTTTCCTTTTTCACATGCAAGTTACCATCTTGGCAACTTGCAGGGATGTCAGTTCGTTTGGAAAGCTACTGGGTACAAATCTGGAATAATTGTAGGCACTGTTCTGCTGGCTGAACTTTTTCCTACAGAGTGAGAATATTTTTTAAATCTGAGATCCCCTATTGGAATTTAAGAAGTGTGTGTATGTGAGTGCATGTGTGTGAGACACACACACAGAGAGAATGCACACACATGTGTATTTGTTTTCTTGCTTTAGGTTTCTATATATTTTATTTTTAGTGTTAGAGCCTTAAAGACAAAATTTACTGTGCAAGGGACAATGATATGAGCAATAATACATAAATGATAGGGGAAAAACAGAAAATGAAGTATTATGGAACAAACTAGCAACCTCAGCAAGCAGGATTATAGTAATGAAGAAAATAACTTGAAAATCAAGGCTTTTATTTCATATGATCCAATGTTAAAATGTGCTTTGCATTTGTGTTAGGTACGTTCTTCTACCACGAAAATGATAAAAAATGACACATGATAACTCGTACTTAGTGCACGAGAAGAGAAATGTAAAATTGCTTCTGTTATTATTCCTATAATCATGGAGTTTTCTTTAGATGAAACATTATTTCTGAGAATTTCAGAAAGCTATTTAGATGTTATCTCCCTAATGTTGACATTATCCCCAGCTGAATGGAGACATACATTGTAAAATAGTAATGCAATCCAAACATGACCAATTATTTGGGGAGATTAAATGCAATGACCGGAGTTCTGATTTTGGAGCCCCAAACAAAATAAGATTACAAATATATAGAACATTCCCCCAAAGATACACCTCCTTCGTTTGTAACCCCTTAAAATCTAGTGCTTGTGGACTCCCTCCAGAATCAATGCAATCTGTGTGCATTGATGCTTTGGCCTCATCTTTTCAATCTCCTCTCCTCCCTGACAACTCCGTGTAATAGATCAGGGTGTGAGGAATGGGGTATGGATGGATCTGATACTGATTTTCTCCTTTCTCCCTTCCCACTCTTACCCTATAGCAAGGCGAGAGAGGGAAAGAATCTGACCAGAATTTCAAGAGCAGGTGTCCTGGGATACATAAGAGAAAACATTTTTTTCTTACAGACTCTATTCTTTGGTTTTCTTCTTGTGGATTTTTAGCTACCTGTCCCCATGAAGGGGCAAGTCTTTGGTGGATTTGTGTACCGTGTGGGGAAAGCTGCGGCTGTTAGATATCACAGTAAAAGTCTAAGATTCATCGAGCTCAGAATCGATCCCTATGAATGCCTGGGCTCTTTCTTTGTTCAGCAGCAGCATAGAGTACAGAATGTCTGAATTGCCTTCTTGCAACATGAGAGATTTCCTCCCACAGAAGTCCCCTGTTCCATTAATGAGAAAAACGAAGAAGGCTGCTCACCTGGCCAACTATCTTCTCCATGCCCTCCAGCAGGCGTTTGTTTTGTTCCTCGATCTCTATAGCTCTGGAGAGGATGGCGTCTGGGGCTTCTTGCATGCTGCGCACTTCCGTGACTAGATGATACAGAGGGTCGTTCCAGGAGCGCAGCACTCTGAGTACCAGGTTCAGAAGGTCCTCGTGCTAAGAAACCATGGAGCACAAGTGCATTCGTATGAGCCAAACACAACAGGGTTAGTGACATGTGGTTTTTGCTCAGAAAGCCTGGGCTAACAATACTTCTTTATTAGTCCTATGTAAATTTACAATTTTTTATAGGTGATAGAAGTTGTAGGAATGCAAAATTTAAACTAGGGATCTACGTTTAGCTGAAACAGAAACACCTGGCTTAGTGCAATAACTAACTTTTCTGGTGAGAATTCTAATTGATAGCATGAAGAATTTTGTTTTCCCCTTGAAATTCTGTCCTCTGTCCATGCAGTGAGATCTTTTTTATTTGATTTCTTTGCTTGTCCCTGGAGAGAAACTAAAGTTTTGCAGGAACTCAATAGGTGTCTACAGTACCTGCCTCAGGCAGGATAGATTCCACCACTGTCAATGGCAAGGGGCCCAAATAATTTTTACCCAAGAGTTTATGCATATTCATGAATTCAATTGCTCATTCCTATAGTCCTTTGTGATTTGCAGTTTAACATGGTATTCACAAACATGCTTTCCCCAACCTGTGCAATCCTTCACCCCATCTGCAAGCAGAACAGTCTAGTCTATTGGCACATGCAGGTGAATCCATGGAACGATGTTATATTTAATAAGAGCATCAGTGGAGTTCACAGTGGAGTTTTAGCCGCCTCGTTTATGCTTACTCCCAGGATTGTACGCGAGGCTCCAAGTAGCTGATTACCTGTGATTTAAAAGGCTTGCCATGTGGATGTCTGTGAACTAGTCTAGTGGTGATGAAAATGAGGAGTAGCAGAGAAATGAATGGACTCTGCAATGGAAACATGTACTAGGATATGAAGCAAAGCTAGAGAGAGCTGCAGGCTGTGGAGGGAATGTCAGTGTCGTTTTGCTGGGAGCATTGTAGCAAAGCGATTTAGAGTGAAGGCTTAGAATTGGATGGAGCCCAGATTCACTGCTGCCTAGCCACGTGGCTGCTGCACCTTCCATAACTTCTCCGAGTCTCAGTTTCTTTATCGCAGTGAGCATCACAATGGTATCTTGTGTTACAGGATTTTTGTGAGGATTAAGGATAGTAATGCACATAAAGTGTTTTATGCAGTTTGTAAGACTATGGCAATGTAGTACAGATCAAGTATCCCTACTCGGAAAATCCCAAGTCCAAAATGCTTCACTGAGCATTTCTTTTGAATATCACATCAGTGCCCAGAAATTTCAAATTTGGGCCATTTTGGATTTCACATTAGGAACACTTAATCTGCAGCTCTCAATAAATGTGATTTCCTCTTCCTCCCCATCTTTCTTCTCGTATTATTACCATAATTATAATAACTACTATGAATAAGCATAGCAAACAGAATGCTGGTACCATTAACACTATAAACAAAAATCACTTTGTATCTGTGGGGGGCATATATGTAGAAAAGGTTTATTTTAAATTAGGTTAAGACTGGGGCTATGGCAGCAGAGAATCAGAAGGGAGAGATTATAACAATAAAAGGTTGGAGCTGTGATACATGACTGAGGCTAGATACATAGACTTCGTCATCATCAGAACAGAGGCAATAGTGGCCATGGTGAAAAGCAAAATATAGTGTTTTACAGGGTCAGTTTTAGGGGCCCGACTTTTGGTTAAGAAGGAGGCGATGGCAGAGAAATCAGTGAAGTGTGAAGAAGTAGGTACCAGACAAGAGGAAGGGGAACCACAGGAGAGCCTGGGAAGTCCAGAGCAGGTGGCACAAATAGTGCAGGGGTCAGTACCGCAAAACATTCCTGGGGTAGGAGTCACTAGTCACATAGAATAGAGAAACTGCATTTGCTTTTCTCACACCCACATGATGCGTGTTTATCCATGGAAGTCCAATCCAGTTCAAACGTCCATACAGTGTAATAGATACAATCCCAGGTACAAGACAGAAATAATTCATCTGCCCGGACAGTTTATGAATCTGCTATTGAGTGTGTGACTACACTCTTTACTTAGCATTTATTTGTAATGTACTTTGCTTTGCTTGTTCTGCCTTCCTTTTTCTCTGCAATTGCAATTACCATTCGCTATTACAACACCACCCATAACCAAGAGCAGGATAATAACAGTAGACTGCCTCAATTGTTTTGGTGAAAAACCTGGCTAAAAGACTCACATGGATCTGTTGGGCTTGCTCTTTGTCTTCGGGGGTAGACAGGGAAGAAGTGTGGCAGCTGTTGATGGCCTTGGTAATGAACCCCCGGCCCTGGGCATACCGTTTATCCTGGAGATGATGAAGCAAATTCAGTTAGTTGGGGTTGTTCGTGCCAGGAATAAAGGAAACCAGGGCCAGAATAGCAATACATTTGGTACATATGTATTTTGTAAAGTTAGAGCTAAAAAAGTAGAAATTAAGAAAATAATCCCTTTGCCTCCTTTCCTTTCCCTTATTTCTATAAACTCACTTTATTTTTTCAATTTAACTTTTCTAAATCTCAACCTTTTCCCTTCTTTATGATTCCCTTGTTTACTTTCATTCTTCACCCAAGTTAATATTTGGAAAGCAAATACTAAAAATAGCCAAAATATGAAACATGAAATGTTTTGTTAAGTATCATCTTTCTCCAGTATTTGAGCCAAATGCCACAGTGCATATGTAGTTAATCTCTTGTTTACTGTTGCTCCCAACTGACATGCTTCCAGTAATATGCATTATAACTTTTCTTTGCCTAATCTCTGAGTCTACCCACCTCTACCTTACTGAGTTCATCATAGAGAGAGAATATAATTTTTTTGATTGTGAAAAAATAAGTCAGAAGCACAGGGCACAAAATCTGGGGAAATGTGAAGCAATGAACTGAGGAGAAGAGCAGATGAAAGATTAGGTAACACATTGACAGAGAAATGAACTAATCTTCAGCAAAAGTTAGAAAAGTTTAAAGGAATTACTAGGAAGATATGGAAGACCGAAGAGGGCCAAAAATGGAGGATGAAGGAAACTAATGAGTGAAAGGAACTCTGTTCATGTGTATTTGTTACAAACATTGAGCCATATTCTCTATGGAGGCCTTTCCATTCACTGAAGTGCTAGTCCAGTGCCTGTTCCTCGACTGACCTAGAAGAGTTAACATATGACTTTCAAAATATCTTCATCAGAAAAAGAGTATTTACTTCCGATTCTAATCCGGCCCCTTACTGTCATGATAAATCTATATGCTGGAAATATTTGGAAAATAATTTATTGCATTTGGGGGTTCAGAAAAGCTGTCATTATTTTTTCTGTCCCCCCGACATGGATTTAGCTTAGTTTAACTGTTTAATCCACTCAGTTCACTGCAATGCAATTTGCATTTTGGGGATTCTGTGGTGTACTACTGAGTGAGGATGCCTGCAAAGCCTGACCTCTACATGCAAGAATAGGAAATCAACCTTCTTCCTTTCTCTCAGCCCCACTGAAAAGTCCTTTATGTCTCTGTCTAAATTTAAAAAATAATAATAATAAAGTGAATTAAGGAAAAATCTAAAAATCATTACATTCTTTGAGAATCTTTGAGATATCACAAAATAATCTCTTTCTGCTCATTCTGCATTGTATTCGCTGTTGCTTCTTTTGCCTATTAAGGTGCAAGTATTTAAAATTTGGCTCAGGAGCTTTTCTGCTTTGAAGTGTAGGCTAGCCCGGTGATTTGTGAGAAGGCGTGTGCAGGGCAAGAAGCAAGAATTGTGGTACTCACAAATTCGTTGAACATCTCTGAGGACAGGTTATGGATGTAGTGGGACAGGATGACAGCACGGTCAAACAGTTCTCGAAGGGACACCTGGCAGTTGACAGCCCCACTGGGACAGATTGGCAGGGAGGCCACACTCTTGCACAGGAGAAGGTTTGACACCAGCAGCAGAAGCAGCAGCAGAAGGGACCCTCCTGAAACAAGAACACCAGCCACTCTGGAGATGATCTATTCTGCTGAGGTTATCAAAAGCACCCCTGCAGGGGAAGCCTTATCTCTCTCCCCTGTCCTCAACTGTGTAATGTGGTAGTGTAACAGTGGGGGGGGTGGTGGTGGTGAAGAATCAACACCCTTCACTGTGTAAATTTAGATATATAATTATATTTGCACAGACACATAGGTTGAGAAGTGGGTTACTGCCTGTATTTTTGTGTGGCTCCCAGAAGTGCTTCTGTACTTTGCAAACATTTGGAGCTAAAATTAATTCTGAGCCAGGGTGTTTAGGTCATTCTCTTAAGGTAGCTGAATGTCCTGGGAGCTCCTGCAGATTTTTCAGAAGTCAAGTTCTTCAGGAGTTTGTAATGTTTTAATTCAGTGTCTGATATTTACACTTTAGACAATGAGATGACAGGAACAACACAGTTGATCTGTTTGATTTATCTTTATGCCTGATGGGAATAAACACATGATTGCTTGATTGCTAATACTAACTAGGAAGAGAAATCTAACACCAAAATGATGCTTAGCTTGGATCAGCTAACTCATCGTGATAATATGATGCATTTCGTCCACACTTAGCCAAAAGCTTAATTTTTCCCCCAAAATTTAGCTTCATAATAATGCTGTCAGATAAACTGGACTTTGGAATTATCATCAAATTATATTGATGACATAGATGGCTTAGGAAGGTTAGGTGATTTTCTCCAGCTCATATCATTAGCAGGAGAGAAAGGCAGGATGCCAAAACCCATGGTCTTTGCATCTCCTTGGTCATATCACACACCTGTGGGCTCTTAGTTTGCATCTGTGTGGCAGGGACACATCAGTGGCCGTGACGGCTCAGAGTGTGCAGAACTCGTTGTTATCACTTGTAAAGAACAATACTTTGCTTTTGACTACATGATAACAGAGTCCCTAGGAAGCTTGAATTTTATCCACTTTTCCTGCTCTGACGAAAATACTTTAAAAACTTCAACAATGATCAGAGACGGTGTTGTCAGCAATTGGCTATCTTAGCAGATAGAGAGATGCAGACCTATGATATCACTAATTTCTACTTTGAAAAGGAAAGAAACAAGATGCAGCTATCAAATTAAATTCAGTTTTTAACTTCAGTCACACTACTCTAAACGGGTCTGTGGTGTAAAGATGCATGAATCAGAAAACTAAGTGCCACAGAACCTTGGATAAATACAAGTGGACATATTCAAGATACAGCTAGACAGTTGCTGAAGGTTAATTTGTGAAAAAAATACCTAAACCTAAACACCTAAAAATACCTAACAAAATTTAGAGTTGCAAGTAACTAAACCCTTTAGCTGCAAAATAAAAAATGTTAATGCACTAAGATAATTCCTATTACAGATTTTTAATTTACCAAAACATGATACTTCTGTATCTGTATTTTATGCATGTTGCATTTATTTCATGTAGCCAAATGGATAGTTTATCTACATGCTTAAAAAAAATGCCCTTGGCAGACAGAGAAATAGGAAGAGCGGCTTTAGGAAATTCATAGCTGGATGGATGTTTTTTAACTCTGAGTACATTTATCTGCACATTTATCATCTGAGGAATTTTCACAGTCCACAGTGAGATAAAATAGACAAATGTTTTTGTTCTGTGTTTCATAAAACAAATTTTATGGTTGTTACTAATTTATTTTTCTTGCAAATGTCAACTAGGAAAGTAAAGGTGATTAGTTATTAGCAGTCAGCCTATTTTTCCTTTTGAAATGTCAATTGGCTTGAACAAAATTGACAAAGTGATGGAAGAGACAGTTCTGTTATCACAGCCTATCTTACAGCTTCAGATTGCAAGTTTCTTCAGGTTGATTCAGAGTGATCAATCCACATAAGAGGCTTGGGAACCAGGAAAGGTTAGTTTCTGGAGTTGGACACATTGAACTTATACTCTTCCGGTCTTATTCTAGTTCAAAGTTTCTCAATCTGGGCAATATTGGCATTTTGATCTGGATCAGCGGTTCTCACCCTGTGAGTTGCGACCCACAGGAACTATATTGTAGGGCTGTGGCATTGGGAAGGTTGAGAACCACTGATCTGGATAATTCTGTGTTCTGGGGACCGTCCTGTGTATTGTAGGATGTTCAGCAGCATCTCGCCCTCTACCTATTTGATACCAGGAGCACATTCTTGTCTCCCCTGACTCAATTATTATAAGATAATCCAAGAAGTCTCCAGACATTGCCATTCATCTCCGGGAGAACCAGGATTCCCCCACCCGAGAAACACTGTGCTGTCCTTTCGCACCCTTGTTTTCCTTACTTTCTAGAGCAATGATTAGATAAATCATAAATTCTAAATTCTGTACACCAGAAACCTCTTATTATTTGCTAAAATTTCACATTAATCCCTCGCTAGGAGTGAGTGTTGGGGAAGCCAACGACTTGGTGAGTTGCGGCACGTACCTTTCAGCCGCGCTCCTTTGCTGTCCATGGTGGTGACCGTCGCAGGAAACACACTTCCCCACGGGAGATCTGGAAGTCCTACAGCTCTCTCTTTCCCACATGCTGGGTTTATAAACCTTTGACATCTTTATGAATATATTGAACTGGGCATTCTCTTCTCTTCCTGGTCGTCTATTTTCGTCATTGAGATTACTCCCATAATTTCAAACATCAAATGGTATTTTATTTCTTATTCATATTCAGGAAGACATACTGGCCAGAAATGAACATTCTAGCAAGGATTTTGATTAATTAGACCAAAAGGAAATGAGAAAAATGATGAAGGTGAGACCTGGAGACTAGTTCGTGTTAGAGGATCTGTTAACACTGCAAAAGTCATTGAACTTTAAAGTTTACCTTTAGTTCTTGGTAGATTCCTAAATATATAGCATTATGTTTCACTTAGGTAACAGTACCATGTATTATCAATTGTCATATTTCTGAGTCAAGATTGCTAGGTAAATGTTTCAAAATTTACACACTAAATGGCAGGAAGTATAGAATAAGCAATGGGAAAATTAAGATTTTTCAGTTCCCTGTTACATTCTCATCAAATTTCTCTCATTTTATTTCTCACTTATATACATTCTGTTTTGTCCTTTAAAAAACGGCATAGCTGTATGGTACTTGGTTTTATAATGTGCATTTTCATCTGTTTATTTCTTTTGATTTTGCAATGTATTAATAGCATATTACAAACTGCAGTTCATAAATTAAGAAACAATAGTTTGGTGAGGCAATATAAAGGATAGGAAAGAGGTAATTCTTCTATGGATGAGTTAGATGCAGGAAGGATTATGACTCCCAGGGGAATCAGAAGAGATGTGAGGGACGCGAAGGAATGAATCATCTGACAAAGATGGCAGTGCACCCATGTCTAGGACAAACGAGATAATCGCTTCTCTTTTAAGAGACTTTATTTTGGGAAAGCAATATAGTAGTTTTTCAAGGCACACACACACATACACACACACTCACACTCATCCTGGTCCACACAATGTAATAAACCGAAATTCCAGCCAATCATTTCTACTCTCCTCAAGGATACGAGTGAGCAAGTTTTATTAACTTATGATGATTCTACCTTCTCTGACCTTGAGCCACTCTGGGACTAGGTGACAGAAATTCATCTTTTATGGGCTCAATAGTTCCATTTGCCTTTTAGAGATCTCCTTAATAAAATAATTATAATGAATAATCACTAAGTTGTTGACAACTTTCTTAATTTCTAGGTCCATGCATCTAAAGCAGCCTGTGACCTTTACTTTCCAATTTACTGTCTTACTTTACTTATTGACAGAATTAAAAAAATATCCTCTCAATGGCATTTACTTTTTCCATGACTGCTAGTGCCATGTATGTGCTTTAGCAATTATCCGACTAAGTACTCTTATGAGGACCTAAAAATCTTAACAGAGACTAACTTCACTGAAAAGCTATCTTCCTAATTGCCTTAGCTTCGACAATCCTAGATTTTGATTCATAAACATCAAATGTGATGATTCATAGGCCCTATCAATCTAAAAGCTGGGTTAGAATTCAACACACTCATACTAGGTATCCATTTTCCCCCTGTATGGTGAAAATCTGAATTATTAGGGAAAAAGAGCCAGATGGTAGAGAAATTAACACAGCCCTACGTTCCCCTCCTTTCCCTGAAATTTAAGAATGAGGAAATATGCCATCAGAACTGACAATGACAGCTTAATCTTAAAATGTAAAGGTGCTGCAACTTTTGTAGATGGCCAGGATAAGAGTAATCTAAAGAAACCTAAGCAGTGTTTATTCAGTGGAGGCCAATCGATCTATTTGACTGCAAAGAGGTACATGTTTTTCATAAATTTATTGTGTGCTTCCTGGCTGCTCTACAGCCCCGTGTTTCCTGTGAACAAGATATTGCAATATCTAAATAATGCAAAAGGCATATTTTATGCAAAAAGTCATAGTTTTATTTTTTTCTAACTGCTGTGTATATCACCCTCTGTCACCTTGAGTTTTATATGAGCTCTTTTGCAGGCCTTTCTCTTTATCAGACAGTGCCTTTCCTTAATTTATAGCAATAAAAAAGTTTGCAAAGAATGGACCTGTCTGCTTTTATTTACAAAATTTTATGTGTTCACCATTTTTGGTATGAGGGCTTGTGATTAAGCTAAGAGCTGATGATGGATTTCTGTCAAGTAGCTGAATAAATAGTTCGAATGATGCCTAAGCCCCATGCTATTTTTAGTACCTGAAACTAATGAATAAGTTTGCCATCTTTTCTGAAGAACTCCATTTCTAATTAGGACCCAAACTTGTCTTTTCTTTGTATTATCTCATCTATTTTTAAGTTTAGAATAAATTTTTTCTGTCGTGTATGATGCAAAATGTATTTAAAATGATTCACGTAACTTAAAAGGATCTAATGCAATGCAAGATATGGTTGGAGGTATTGAAGAGTGAAAGAAATTAAGAGTTAAAAAAATAATCCTCAGAATAAATGTGTCAAAAGGGGTTTTCAATGCATAGTATAGTAGGAGTGAATTATCTTTAATAAAATGAAATTTGCAAATGATGACAGGTACATTGTTTGTGGATTTAGAAATTCCAAGTAGTCTTCTTCCAAGACTTGGGCTAAACGATCAGAAGAACATATGTTGTTTTCAATATAAAATATTAGAAAATGGAAAGAAATGGTGGAGGAAAGGGCTTTTCTGCAATGGCATTGTTTTCAGGAGAGCAAAATGTAGAGATTTAATTATACCCTAATATTTCAATCAAATTCATGGGTATCATTAAGTTAATTTTGTCCTAGAGCTCCCTCCATGTGTATCGAATTGCAACCTAACTTACTTTGTGAGTGAACTGTAACCTAAGGAAGAGCAGATTTTTGTTAAAGTAGCTGAATTTTAGCCAATCACAGCAGCAGAGTGACCTGCTTCAGCGGTTTTCTCAAAACACCAAAATGCCATATTTGGGATGATGTGTCCTGGATACCACCAGCCTAGAAGAGCTGTGTTCACAAGGCTGGCAGTTAGTGGGGTTTGCCTCCCAGGGGATATTTGCCAATGCCTGAAGACAGTTTTGATTGTCATACTGAAGGTGGGAGTGCTCCTGGCCTCTGGTAGGGAGAAACCGGATACACTGCTGGACATTTGACAACATACAGCGCAGTCCTCATGTTGGAATATGGTACAATATCCCACCATCCAGATGTCAGCAGTGCTGCTGTCAAGAAACCCTGATCTACAATGAAGTGCCTGAAAACCACGTCAAGGAAATTATTTAACATCGCTGGAGTAACAAACGTGTTAATAGGTAAAGCGTTAAGTGCAGTACCGTGTGATCTTGTATGTAATCCGCAATGGAGATAAGGCTGTCAGCAGTCTTTTTGTGTTCAGTAATAAGATAAAAAACGTAAACCATCTGTTAGGAAAATTTAAGGGGAAATTAACCAAAACACAAGAAGAAGAGGATAATATGCGTGCCTGTATTTCAAGCATCTTACAAATATGTGCCATGAACGACATTATACTTGGCCATAAAGGAAATGTTTTCTTAAAAAAATAGAACACATAGCAATAAGAATAGATGAGTTAAGTTCAGCTTGTTTTGCATTCTGTCAGTGGCCACTGATGATTATTTAATTGCTGACTCTAAATCAGTCCTCGAGTTCTCACCTGGGCTTACTTTTTAGGCATTCAGCCTGATACAGCATTCTTTCCCCTTTGGCTGGAGTAGTCAATGTCCTGACCTTACTGACATGCCCATGAAGATTATCCTGACTGTATCTTCCCTTAACTTCTCTTCTGAGCTGCCACCCACCTACTGGGCATTTCAACATATATGTCTCCAGGTACAATTTATTGGATTATTGAAGACAATTCTTAACGATTCTTTTTATTTTCTTTCAGACTAATAACTCCTCAGCCACCCACACTTAGATGTGGGCTTACTTCCTTTTCTTTTGTCTCCTTTGCATCACATTCAACCAGTTGGTCCGTTGCCATTGTTTTTTCTTAACTCCATGAAATTTTCTTTCCTACGCTCTCCAGGTTAGCTTGACCTGAGTTTTTATAATAGTGTCTCTTCCATTTTCTCCTGCCTATGTCAAATTCAGTTTCAATCTGTTTATCCATCAAGACGATTAATCCATCTAAAGGTCAACTTCTGGGAAATCTCTCATTCTTCTAAATTGCAGTATTTGAGAGTCAGAGGAATCATGGGGTATGTTTCACCAAATGTCATGTTTTGGAAATGAAGAAAATGAGATAAGCATATTTAATTATTGTAAGAACGGGTATTATAGCTCTTTTGCCGGCCATTCTGGTAATATTTATGCTTGCCTTCTATGCTCATCCTATTGTGCCCACTGAACTTACGCAGCTGATGGCAAGTCTTGGTGAGGAGATGAAGGTGTGACCTTGAAGGCACACTGAGAAACACATTATTATTTCAAGGAAAAATGTCAAGGTAATTTGATTCTCAAAGACAGAAGAGAGAGAAATGGAATGTTTTAAGGAATTTGGGGCCTTTGAGGAAACATTGCCATTGTCAAAGAGAATTTAAGTGTGATTCTAAATCATGTTATAAAAACAATACGTTTGTTAGACTATTTCTTAATGAATGAAGTAGACAAAGAATGAGAAGCTATTAATTTTTTTTCTTATTCAAATTGGTCTTTGATTTATCTGCCATTTCGTTCTCTAAGAATTATTTCACTAATATGAGTCTTGCATATGTCATAAAATCTTCATTTAACTTTTTCACTTGTCACTTCTATATCATTAGTGGAATGAAAGTCAAAGAATTCTTGTAAATTAAAAAAAGATAAAAGGTTATCTGTCGACCACTTGAAGGAAGCAATACTATTATTACCCTTATAGGTGATGTGACATTTGAATGTTCTCCCTTCTACAGGCCATTTTGTGCTCATACTTTATAAGTTTAGCTTAATAGATAAGAAATAGGGTATTTCTTCTAGAAAAAGGGCATTGATTTCAAAGAGAAAGAGAATGAATATAAGGTATAGGTTTCTGGTAATAACTGCAGAA